GCGGGGAGGGGACGGTCGAAATCCGGATGCCCCGGAGCGCGACGACCACGTCCCGGCTGCGACTCCGCCTCGGCGTTTCCTCATTTCCGGCGCGCGAGACTCCACCGGCTGATCTCCCTAGCGAGAAAAATACGTCGATACGTATTTAAGAAGACCCGCGAGAACGACGACCACAGGATGATGATGTCGGATATAACGCGGCGTGCACGCACGCGCGCGTGCTCGTGAAAAAAACTTTCGTGGATGTGCAACAGTTACTTCGGGCAGGCGACACACGAACGAAAATTCCCAGCTTCCTTTTGTTCACCGAGGAAGAAAAAAAAAAGAACGCGAAACTCGACGATCGATCGCAGGCGCGTGGAAACGACGAGTACAGACGAAGAGTCTCGGGGACGCCGGACGATCGTCGGCTCGTCGCCGGTACTCACCTTCTCGAATCTCGGCAGTAAAAGCGCCGAATACTTCTCCTACCGCGTCGCCGGCGAAGCACACTTCGCGATGCACCTTGTAATCCTTTCTCGACGAAATCGGAGTTTCGCCGGGCGCACGTCCGGCGGCACAATGCGTCTCTCTCTCTCTCTTTCACAGGTTCACGTGTGTACCGATGCAACGGACGGGACAGGCTCTGCTCCGATTTATCACGACGTTACAACGTGCGTAGGAAGAAAGGCTCTCCTCTTTCTCTCTCTCTCTCTCTTTCTCTCTATCTCTCTTTCACTCTCGTACGGCGTGACGATGGAGAAAACTTTTTTCAGCGGGAGCACGATCGCGAACACATCCACTTGGCTCGGTAACGCGCGACCAACTGGCGGCGAACACGAGCGGAGGGGAAGCCGCGTCTGTCTGTTGGTCCGTCTGTCCGTCTTTCTGTCACCAACGCGTTGCTCTCTCGCACCAACGAGCCTGGTTCCCTCTCCCTCACTGCTTTTCTCTCTCTCTCTCTCTCTCTCTCTCTCTCTCTCTCTTTCTTACTCGTTTGCCCGTCCTTTCAGGATCCTTCTATCCTTCTCTCTCTCTTTCTCTTTCTATCGCTCTGTTTCTGCCTCGCTCTATCTCCTTCCCTCTTCCCTCTCTTTCCTCCACTGTCCCTCTATCTCCTTCCCTCTTCCCTCTCTTTCCTCCACTTTCCGTTGCTCCTGGTCTTCTTCTTTCTATCTTTCGTTCTCTCTACACGCACACCCTGTGTATGTCGGCTCCTTCTCTCTCTCTCGTAAGTCGCAGGTACGTCGATGCTCCAAACGAGACTCGTGAAAGGGCACACACCGGGGAAACGCGACCGTGTGTTTTTTCCACTCGTAGAACGTCCTCCCGACGAAGGATGGCCGGAGCGCGCGTGGCGACGACGTGTATACACGGGACGAATCACAGGGCGAATCACGGGACTACGCGCGTTGGCCGGGGCTCTACGGTCGGGTTAATGATCGATCGGCTCCTCTCTCGGCGGCGCGCC